CAGAATTGTACAGACTTGTGAGGTGCAACACTCTCTTTTATTTATTACATGCTATAGTTAATCCATTACTGACTTACTAAGTTATTAATCAATTGCACCTCCGTTTTTAAGGTTTTCTATTCAAAAGCATAATGTTCAGAATAGACATATGGTCATGGCAAAGTTGTACAGTAACTACAGAGTTTCCATGTATTTCTTGAACTTTCTTTATAAGCACAACCCCCACCACAGTGAATAGCCCACACAGAAACATTCTGTTCATGCTGACAAATCGTCATTACCCAAAGTCCATTGCTGACATTAGATTTCATTTCAAAACCTAAGCGTGTTGGCATGTATATCGTGACAACTGTCTGCTGGCACAGAGTAATGTATAATATTTTTACTGTCCTAAGATTCCTCCAAGATCCTCCTGCTCACCCTTCCCCCAGCTCTGACCCTTGGTAAGCATGGAGGCTCTGATTTCACCGTTTTACCTTTTGTGGAATGTTGAATATTGGAATCGTTCGGCTTGTATTCTTTTTCAAGTTGTTGTTCAGAAGCCTGAATGGCTTTTTAAAATGAAGATTGAGTTAAAAGTAAGACACTTGAAAAGTTTACATGTGGTTTAAGACAACCAAACTTAAAATATGTTGTCTGAGTTTTCAAATACTCATAGTTAGACCATTAGGACCACAGAGGGAATTAAGACAAAAGTCAGGCTGTGTTTATGTCCAGGTGAAGAAAGAAAGAACGTCTTGGGAGAGGGGACACCTAACTTGGAAAGGAGGGGCATTTTTATATTTCACAAAGCTGAGTATATTTATGTTCCTATTATTATTATGTCAGGTACATTAAAGTTATCTATCCTTGTGTAAGAACAAATTTTAACTCTTAAAAAATCACAAGTGAAAGCGAGACGCAGTTTTGTTAAGTGCATTCACCAACAGAATCTACTTATTTAAAAGCAAAACATAGAAGAAGAGATTCTAAATTTTACCTTGGGTGCAGTGTCATTGATCATAAAAGAAACTTCCGGATAGAAGTTCAGGGGAGGGTGGGTTTTATAAATTTTATTTGTTAAAGAGTTAGAGTATAGGACCAGAAGATGTAATTAAGCTCATGACACAGAATAGGCAAGTCAGAAAGAAGTTCTTTGGCTCATTAGTTTTTAATATGTGACAATGGAGGCAAGGAAAACTGATGGGAAATTTAAATCTCTTTGAAAAATTGATTAAAAAATGATTCAAAAGCTCCTTTTTTTTTCAGACCGTTCACCAATATAAAGGAATTTAAGGGCATTTAAAGGTGACACGTCTCAAATTAAAAAAAAAATGTAGACATGGAACATAGCGGGAAGTTTTTTACCTTTTCCTACTTACATGGTAAAGAAATAACTTGTGAAAATAGTTTCGTGCATAATGGTCTTTATAAAATAACAGGTACCCAATCAGAAAGAAATGTGTTATATATGGTGCACACCTCATAGTGTCAGCTCTCAGGAGGCAGGGACACAAGAATTTGAAGTTGGAAGCTAGTGTGGAGTATGAAAGAAGACCTTACACAAATGAAACAGGTCAGAACAAAGTAGAGAAATGGTCTGGGAAGGTATTGAACAAACATTTACACTCTCTATGGAGACGCTATAGGAGTAGTTAAGAACTACGTGCTACCTGTTGGTTTCAGTTACCTTCTAAGTATTAACATGGGCATTCAAGAGAACAGCGTTATACCCGGAGTACAGTCTATGAAAATTTGTAATGGGCACGTCTGTCACACAAGGTCACACATACGAAGGAACTAGAAACAGGCATAAGGAAATGTGTTCACCATTACGAACTTGATTTAACACCTAAACAGTTGCAATAAGTAGTCTGCATGGCAAAGCAAGAAGACATTTGCTCTGAAGACTGCTAGCGCCATATTTTCTACCGCTATTTAGCAATGATGCAGTAAGTTTGATAAACACATTTCTAACTAGTGACCAAATAATAATGCACTATCTAGGAATCTCTCCAGAAGGTAGTTTCACCAGACTTACAGGTGAAAAACACAATCCCTGGGGACAAAGATAATTGTAATTATCTTTGCCCTGTTTATAATTATCTGATATTAGAATCAATAAGAATACCCAGCGGTGGGAATGGTGAAGTATGTTATTGTTGATAATTATTTTAAAAGGAAAATCAGAGCTAAACCCACTATGCAAAAGTGTATTTTGTGTGGTGCATGTTAAGTGACTAGGAATAGATATGCGATATATCAGTTTGTATTTATATGACACCTATAAGCATATATCCTGATAGACAGATGAGTTCCACCATGTAAATTACTGCCAGGAAGCCCACCAACACGGTAATGATGACTACTGCATGGTGATTTATGTTGGGTATCTTTTCTGCCTTCCAATAATTCCTTTCCTGTGTTCCCGCTGATTTCGACAATTGATTATCTAAGTTTGTGAGTTTGTGTGCTGCACTTGTGTGAACTGCACTCTTCACAGACCATTTTCCTGTCAATATAAGAAATAAATCTTACTGAGGCATTTGCATTTTCTGAATAACCTTGAACCGACAAATGTGAAATACTTAAAAAGTAGAGAACGCTCATGATAACCTCTTTGAACATATCCCTAAATCTTACGCGTCAAATGATCACATTTGATGATCATCAAAAGGCGTTTTGTAGGAGCCTGTAAGAAACAAACCATGCAATAAACGTCTCAGAAAGACAACTTTTGCAGCAGCTTTTATGAACTGCCGCAGACATGGAGAAAACGTTCTGTGGGGGAATGCACTTGGAATTGATGGGAATATTTTTAAGGTTGTTCTTGAGGCTGATCTGGATCCTTGTAACATTAAACTGTAAATTATTTAAGTTTATGTTCCGAAAGATGTCAGAGGAGGGAGGAGGGGCACGCTGCAGGAACATAAAAGCTTCCAAATCTCCCGTGACAGATTATTGACATTACTGTGTCTGCCAGGCCAACCTCATGTCAGTAATAACCGTCTCCACCTTCATCCGTATCCCTGATGATCCTACCCCATCCTCACATCAGAAGCAGTGAGATTTGTCCCAGAGCCTGGCATTTCTTTCCATGTCCTTTGAAGAAGGGAAGTAGTGAAATCTTTTAAAATAACTTCTTTACAGGAATATTTATAAATGAGGTTATTTCAAAACTAAAAGGTCTTTGCTGGCTGCATTAGGGATTAGCTTTAACATTTTTTTTCCTAATAAGTAGAATTGAATACACAGCAGACGCTCTTGTACTTCATCCAACAATTTCTCATTAAAAATAACTGGAAGGTATGTAAAAACTAGACTATGGAGAATGTCTCTTTTTTAAATTGGTCATGATATTTAATAAGGATTTCAGACTGTGTATATGTATTTATTTGATATCCATATTCACAATTCCTATCTGTTTCATACTCAGCCCCAGTTGCAGTGCACATGACTTTAAAAACAATAGACAAACACACGTCTAAATGATCCACACTTAGGAGTAAGCGCTCGTTCTCAGGCTGTAACTTATAAAGTTCCTGCTGTCTACATAAGGGGATACAAGACTGTATAGAAATGTCTGCTGTTATGGTGCTCCTGTGTGAGAGAAAAGTTTGAAGTATGTTTAAAAGGATATAAATAAAGTTTTGGCAACAGATGCTATGAAAGAGCATAAACAAAGTCTGGTCTGGTGATATTTGAGCAGCGATCTGAACGGTGTGATACGAGACGAATATTCTAGCAGAATGAAGACCCAAGTTCAGGACTCTTGAGGTGAGAGGCAAACCACGATGTCGGTCACAAAACCAGTGGGACTATACATACCAGGATATAAGCACAAAGGAGATATACAGTTGGGGAGTATTGAGATATGAGGCTTTTGATATAACTCAAAATTTGTAAGAAAGAAAGAAAAATATGCCTGTTCTGTCTCTTCAAATGAAATAAACAAGTAATGAATATTTGGTTTCTGTCATGGTCAACTATTTCCAAAACGATTTATGAAATGTGTGAGTCTTAAGTACACACACTTCACACACACCAGATCTCACAAAAACAAAAACAAAACAAACCTACCATGTCACCTGACTTTTTTTTTTTTGTTCCTGAATATTTTTATAGGCGTTGGAGTTTCACAGACCATAAGGCTCCTAAAGTTGTTAAGATGCTGAAAGAATATTATCTGTTTTTAAGTTAACTAAAATGCCCTGGGTTACAGCATAATAAGGGTATCATAAAAATACATTAGGCAAACTGTTCTCACTTCCCTATTACAAAACAGCAAGATGTAATTCATATACGGTACCACTGATTTAGTAAACTTGAAATTGAAAACCATCCTCGCCTTTGTGTGGCCTAAAATTAGTAACCTCGAGAGGCAGCACAACCTGCTGTGATAGCATGGGAGTTACTTAAAACTTTTGCCATGAGCTACATAAAATGGTGTACACATTTACTTCTGAACTAAAACATCTATTAAAAATTAAAATAACAAACCTGAATATCACAAATCACATTTCTACACAAGCATAATTTTGTCTGCCATAAAATTAATAATTCCAGGACCATGCAGTCTTTAATTTTGTAGTTGTTTGCTATATTTTTCTGCTGTCATAGTGTTAACTATTTAATATATCTGTTTACCAACTAAACTACTGCTTTCATTTTACATATGCATATGAAATATCTTTGGACATGGAAGAGACCCCAAGTGCCCCCAAATACAGTAAATTAGAAAGCAGTCTGGGAAAGTGTGGACTTTGAAGAGATGTGAATTATTATATTCCATATTGTCTCCCTAATAAGCTTAAACATCCTAAAACCTTATCTATTTTGTCCTCACAGATTTTTTGAGAAGGTCTTAGAAATGCATTATCATCTCCACTTGAGTAAGGAGGGAATTCAATGTGACACTTACTGGTATTTTATTTTAAATTAACTATTATTAGAAGAGGTTGAAATGAATTTGACGTATTTCAAAATGGAAAGCATTAAAACCATGAATATTTCTCTTCTAGAGATAACAATAAAACAAGGAGTTAAAATGTAAGAACCTGGTGAAGGAAGCTACTTGAAAGAGGTGAGCTTATTAATTTTTTCTTCCCATATGCTTGGTGTATCTTATTATGCCTTTTATTTAAATTCAGCCTCCTTTCTTGTCTTCAAGAAAAGACCTTCAGGCTCCCTTAAATAAAAGAAAGGTTTCAGACAAATTTTAAGGAAGGATTTGAGAGAGGAGATGGTTTTAAATAATGGGCATGAAATAGAAGACTGTTTTTAGAGTTAAGTACAATATGGGAAATTTCAATCTTAAAAGTTTGAGTAGGAAATTATATACTGCATGCTTAAGTCCTTCCTCCGAGGATAATAGTTTTAAATTTTAATGATTTTTCCCTACTCCCCACTTTCTAGGTACATGACCTTCATTCTCTTGGCCAAAGGCAGCCATCGCGGGATTGTGGTGGAGGAAAGACATGGCTAGGGAGGAAATGTTGAAAGTGTCTTATGAGGCATTCGAAAAGAGATGAAAACAAGATGAGTCTGGGTTTTGAAAGCAAGAATAGAATTAAGAGGTAAGGATGGCTGTTATCTGGAAAAGCACTTCCCTGGATTTATTCCTATTATCACTTGCAGTCAAGGCTGCATGGCTCATATGCCTAAGAGCTCGCCAACAAGAGGAGATACTCCTGGCCACCATTACAGCTTCGTTTTAATATGGAAAAAGTGGATAGGTAAAGAAAAATCTATCTCTTCAAACTTTGATCTTAGTGAAAGACGAAGAAGATTTAAGAAATTACAAATGAGCCTAATTAACAGTGTAATTAATATTCACCTTTTCAGCCTTGTATACAGAAGTAACAGAAATGCTTTAAGCTACAGAGAGCATTCATCCCAAAATCTTGCTTGTCAGTTGTGAGTCTAAGAGGAGGACCCTTTAAAGGCTGTGTTATATCAAGCTGATTATGATTTGGCTGGGAACCTCGGTCAGGCAAAGAAAGACCCTGAAATGTTGACCTCCCGATCCATGCTTGTTTCCAGAATTAGCTATGAGTCATCTTGCCAGATAGGAGAGTGGAGCTGGGATTCGAGAATGTCTGGCTAACAGAGCTGAACAGTTGGAACCAATACGACTTCCGTTGCATTCTAGAAAGGTCTATACAGTTGTCACCCAGAACTGGGGAACTTAAATCATCCAGGAAGACTACCAAGTCCAAGAATTGCTAAGTGGCCAGGTCACAGGTTCCATCAGAGACTCAAGATACCATATTAGGGGGAAAGGTGGCAAAAAGGAAGTTTTCTGAGGGGCTCTTTATTCTTTGATGTGATGAGCTTCACACAACGTATTTTGATTGTATTCATTCCCCTTCCCACTCCTAAATCTGCCATCTTGATATATACCCAACCTTCGCTCTATATCTCCCCATTCCCATTTCCCTCCCTCCCTTTCTCCCTCCCTCCCTGTCTCTCTTCTTCCCTCCCTCCCTTCCTCCCTCCTTTCCCTCCCTCTTTCTCTCTCAATGAGTTAGGTTTGTGTAAGTTGACAACTCCTGGCATGGGGTTCTGACCTGGAGTGGGGGATACCTGGGATCACACTGTACCTGGGATCACACTGTACCTGGGATCACACTATACCTGGGATCACACTTTACCTGGGATCACACTATACCTGGGATCACACTATACCTGGGGTCACACTATACCTGGGATCACACTATACCTGGGATCACACTATACCTGGGATCACACTATACCTGGGGTCACACTATACCTGGGGTCACACTATACCTGGGATCACACTTTACCTGGGATCACACTGTACCTGGGATCACACTATACCTGGGATCACACTATACCTGGGATCACACTATACCTGGGATCCACCGCTCAGGAAAACTGATTCTCTCACTCCCTCCAGCTATCAGATACCAGGAACTTTGTGCCCTGCTTCCCCTTCTTCGTGGACTTTTTCTGGTTTGTTTTGGCTTGAGTTTGCACCGGTCACGTGTTACAATCTCTGCGGGTTCACATAGGAATCTACTCCCTTGGGCTTCCTTGGAGTCACCATCTCCAGCTCTTACAAACCTTTCTTCCTCCTCTTCTTCACCAGTCCCTGTGTGATAAAGATGTCCCGTTTAGGGTTAAGCGCTGTTAAGTCCCAGATTCTCTACCAGCTGAACAGTGATAGGTCTCTTTATCGATGTCTATTTATAGCGAGAAGGAATCTCTGGTGAAAAGGGAACAATACATTGATCTATGGCTATAGCCATAAGTCATTAGGAGTCATTAAATGGTTGTATCTATTTAGTAGAATAATAGTAGGTTTTCCATTAGAGTCCATGACATATATAGCCACATGTTCTTAATCTCATTTACGAGGGACAAATAGAAAGATGTCTAAGAATATGTATGCTGAAGATGCAGTTATTGAAATAACCAGGATATCGGATAACTAGATGAATAAATAAAAGAGGATAGTGAGGATGACAGTATTAATTTGGACAGGAAGAGAACTGATAGCATGGCAGATGGTTAGTTGAACACTGATAACTTTAGTTCTTACAGAATCAGTGTTTAAAACAAATGTCCAAACATAGATCTGTTTTTCCACAGTCATTCCCTTTCAACCTCTGACCCAAAACAAGGACACATATTTGAATACCTAGTCTACGGTTCATCATAGCTTGAAAGTTTTATCATCTGATGCTCTTTGGTGGTCCTCTAATGGGAACCTTCTTAATTGAGTTTTTTTTTTGACAATTCCTCCTGGAGAACAAATTGTGTTAGTGTAATGCATTATGCAAATGTGCCACTCTCATTTCTTCCCTTACTAATGAGCATAGAGTCATGATAGCATTTTATGATGGAGAGAGCTAAAGAAAATTTGGACATATTAAATATATTTGTATATTTAGAATTATAGTGTTTATTAGAAGAATGATCATTTCCTCTTCACTCCTCGAATCTTGGCCTCTTTTTCATATGTGTGTGTGTGTGAGTGTGAGTGTGTATGTGTATCCTTTTCATACACATATGAAACATATATCCATATATATGCTACATATAGATTATGTATATGAAATATATAAATCCTGCAGAGTCCATTTAGTGCGGCTTATATGTATATGATTCATGATTACAGGAGTGATGACTTGGTGTTGGGTAAGTAACTGGAAATACTTGGAAAATAGTAGTGACTATTTTGTAGATAATAAATAGCGCTAAATGTACATTTACATTCCTAAAGTCACAAGCTTGTTGAGAGACACATTTTAACACAATATAAAAGTAAAGTAGACACAGTAATCCTCAGCTAAATGCTGGACTGAGAGAGGGAGGGGGATTATATGAGCAAAGGGGTCAAGATCATGATGAGGAAACCCACAGAGACCACTGGCCCAAGTTAGGGGGAGCTCAATGACTATGGACTTACAGCTGGGGAACCTGCATAGCACCAAACTAGGTCCTCTGAATGCGAGTTAGAGTTGTGTGGCTTGGGCAGTCTGTGGGGCCACTGGCAGTGGGACCAGGATTTATCCCTAGTGCATGAACTGGCTTTTTTGGAGCCCATTCACTGTGAAGTGTTACCTTGCTCAGCCAAGACACATGGGAGGAAGAGTCTCAGACCTATTGCAATCTTATTATGCCAGACTTTGTTGACTCCCCAAGGGAGGCCTTGCTTACCCTTTCTGAGGAGTGGATGGGGGGGATTGAATAGGGGGAAGGTGACATGGGGGGAGTGGGAGGAGGGGAGGGAGGGGGAACTGTGATTGGTATGTAAAATGAAAAAAACGTATAATTTTTTAAAAATGTAATCAGCCATGGAGGTAACTTGAAGGAAAACTATCCCAGAAAGAAAGAACCAGCTAGATGAGGAAAACATGAAAAGAAAGTACCGTGGGTTTACCAGAAACTATGAGAGACTTAATCTGAGACGAAACCACCAGGAAACCCTTGTACTTTAGGGAAATGGGTAGGATGCACAGGTAGAGGTCAGGAAAGATGGGGGAGGGGACGCTGGGCAGAGCATTAAAAGTGCAAGGCTTTCCAGGAAGCAAGGCTCTTAGGCTGGATACGCTGCCCAAGGACAAGGAAGTGCTGGGACTTCACTTAACTAGGAAGGAATTGGTTATATCACCAGTTTCCAGTTATTTCCTTCCTGGTCTGCTTGTGCCGTGCTTTTCGGGAAAAACTAAAGTGATTTCCTCAGAATTTATTTCAACTACGAAGCATGTAACTCAGTAATAGTGAGCACATCCATCGCCAGGGCTGTTAGCAAGCATTTTGCTTTTCCCGACAGAAAGCTCAGGTGTAGCTACCCTCTTCCTGTGGGCTGTATTTTAGACTCTGGTGCTGATGTAATGGCTGTAACCAGAAGGTGAAATGCCACCATGCTGTAGATGGAGAAGAATGACCAAACACTGTGCATAGTGGGTGGAGTTTTACCTTTTTTCTTTTCATGGTGGGCATCTTCACTGTGTAGTCCAGTTTCTCCTCAAACTCGCAATTCCCCTGCACCAGCTTCCCCAGTGTGTCTTCGGTAGTTTGCATATGAAACGGCTCCCATAAGCTCGTGTGATTGAAGATTTAGTCTCCAACTTGTGGAGATGTTTTTGAAGAATGTGGAGTCTTGATGAGGCAGAATCATTCGGGGAGAAAACAGGTTGCTAGGGAGTAGGAATTGAGATTTGACATCAGCATTGTAATTAAAAAAAATCGGTGCTCCGGAGAAAGGGGCCATGTGGCAGGGTTTGGGTGGAGGGTTTTTTTATTATTGGGAGAAAGTGAATGGGAAAAAGGGGGGGGGAGACCAGCCTCTGGGGACAAGAGCAGCAGACAAGAAGAGAGACAGGCAGAGAGGCAGAGAAGCACAGAGAGAGAGAGAGAGAGAGAGAGAGGGAGGCAGGGAGGGAGGGAGGGAGGCAGGGAGGGAGGGAGGCAGGGAGGGAGGGAGGGAGGCAAGGAGGGGGGATGGGAGGTGGGCGGGGCCCTTTTAAAAGGGAACACAGTGAATGTGCACAGGTGGTGCTCTTAGTGGCTGCAGATGAGGGCGTATCCTGTCAGGACCCCAAGGGCAGGCCAGTACAGATGCCTGAATACTGACAATATCCAAGCCCTACTTCCTACCCTCTCTCTGCTTCCTGACAGTAGACAAAATATGTCCAATCACCTCACGTTCCTGCCACCATGATTCTCTGTCAGTGAGGACTGTATCTTCAAACTGTGAGCCAACATAAAGTATTCCTTCCTTAGTGGCTTTGGTCAACTATTTCACAGCAATGACAAAAATACAGCAGCTTTGGGTAGAGTATGCATTCTCTCTCTTTAAATTGCTATGTGAATAAAACAAAACTCTATGTTTTATCCTTGTGAATTGATTTTCTGTTACTTGTAAAGTGTTCCCAAGGTGACACACACACACACACACACAAAAGTAAGGACAGGTTCACAAAGGTTTTGGTATTATTTTTCTAAGTAGCTTGGATTTTATACTTAAAGAAAAATCAAATTTAAGGATTCAAAACACATAACAATATGACTGTAGCCCATTTTTCAGAAACAACAATAAAGCCAT